CTTTCCCTTCCTCGTGTTGAAAACCAAGCAAGCAGAGTTACAGGACCAAGTGACTATATACCTGATTCCTGCTCTTAATTTCAGATTAAATATAGGTCTTGGATTAAAACCCCATGCTGTGCATGCTCTGAAGGGATTATGTCAGGTCCTTTGGCAGCAATTCGCTCTTTGCCCCCAGCCCTCTCCGTTGCTGAGGGTGCAGGGCAGCACCGTGAGCCTAAGAGACTTGAGAGCATCCTCCGACTCCTGGAATTTTGGTGCTGGGCCAGCCTAGGGCTGGCTGGGGCCACTGGGGGCTGTCACTTACTGCTGCTGACCATGGGGAGAAGCTCCCAGGCAGCTCTCATGCCCTGCGGTGATGGGGGGCTGCCCTGCCAGCACTGTGGGGATCCTCCAGTGGCTCCTGGCACCCAGATCCCCCGTCAGCCCTCGCTGTACCCTGGCAGCTGAAGGAGGGAGGGAAGGTTGGAGAGCATCTGATGATCCAGTTTGCACAACACTAAAATCGCAGCTCAGGGTACAAAGCTGCAGAGTAGGAACATGGCCATGCAGTGCAGGTAGGGTTCCCTATGCAGGTGGCTGTGTTATGCGTGATCGATCCTCATCTTGTTCATAGCAAGGGTCGGAAACTAAATCTTGCAGATCCTGTAAACAGTTACCGCTAGCCCAAATCATGCCCAAAGAAAACAGGTCTCACCACGACTAGAGCATCCATGCATACATGAGTGACTGTCCACAGGTTAATGTCCACTTCATGCATATGTCAATCTATTCAGCTTTGAAATTTGTCTGTGGACAGCAGAAAGTCAGAGCTGCTCACACGTCCCAGGACAGGTTAGACCAGAGGAACAGTGGATCTGCTTGGAAGTGGATATAACACCTCTGGTGGGATTTGGCGTTTGTGTAGGACTCTTGCTTTTGATACTGTTCTATACCTTTCAGTATACACAATATATACAGAATATCCACTGAATCCTGCCTGAGCAGTAAGTTCCATAGGTCACCTCGTTATTACTAGATACTCTTGACCACATGATCTCCGACAGTAGTGCTGACAGGCAAGTTCTCTCTACTGACCACAAGTCCCCAGCCATGCATGTATAAATCACATTCATTTTCTAGGAAGCCCTAAGAGCTGTAATTTTTCTTGTTTCCCAGAGAAGGTTCAAAAACTATATTTACCTGCTTCACTAAGAATCCTTGCTTCACAATTGTGCCACTTAATTCAGAGATGTTAAATTGCAGCTCTTCCTTGGAACTGATATTTTTATTACTGCTCTCAGCCTGCAAATAGGGAAAAGATGGTTCCACTTTTCTTTTTAATTTAAATACATTTTTAAAGTACAAAGTTCTGCTGTTTTTAGCTCATATTACCCCAGTAAATTCTACTCCATAGCCATGCTGCTAAGATAGGTAGGTCTAAGATTTTCAAGCAACAAATTACAGCTGTAAAACCTACACGCATGCTGTGGCCTTGAGTTTTAGCATAACTACAGCACAGCCTCCGTTAAATGCAGACACAGCACTGCACTCAAGGGACGTACCCCTTTTAATGCCTAATTATGTAGTTTGTAGATCCCTCCATATCCATGCAGCCATTTGTCTCCAGCAAAGGTGCAAGCGTTAGCTCTATTAAAAGCATAGAGGGACTCCTTCTGTGTTTGCTTTCACAGCCTGTGTATTTTGCTTTTGGCTGCACGCTGTGCGTGTCCCCTTTACCACTGCCCCCAATCAAGCGTATGACAAGCGGCAGAGGAGGTGCCTCTGTTGTCAGCTGCATCACTTACAAACATGTACAGTGCAGTGGAGTCGTCAAGGAACTGCTCAGAGAGGTCACTGTAGCGTGTGGCCTCAGTGCTGCGGGCTCCCACAGGCTTGATGAAGTTCTCCTCCATCAGCATGGATGCCAAAGTGACGGCCTCAAATCGTGACACAGCAAAGCTATTGGAGATGAGCCAGTCCACCAGGGCAGAACCTGCAGGGAGAAAGGCAGCTCTCATACCAAGGCAACGTGCTCTTCCAAGGCAAGACAGATGGTGTTCAGCCACACAGGCCTTCATTTGCTGAAATATTTTGGCACAATCACAAAGACTGTCAATGAAGTGCAAGGTTGACCAAAAGCATGGGGTCCTGTGTGTGCTTCCATGTATGCAAAGAGGAAGAGAAAGGTGTCGGAGAACTTGGCTGCACCAGTACTTTCCACTGGGCCACAACTGATTCCACCATGAAGGCAGTACAGTAACTGCAATGTGGCGTGTCAGATGTGAGAAAGCTCTTTGCCTGCAGCAGGTGTACCTGTAAAGGTCTCTTTGTATCTGTTGCCTTGCTCCAAGTTGCGGGTCAGCTTAATTCCAGTAGTGTTGTCACACATTCTCTCCACTATGTGGCTGTAAAAGAAAACACAGGACAATGTTTCTAGAATAGAAAGACAGGCAGAAACTGTCACGTACTTCTGTAAGTGCCTGGGATGTCCTAATGATTACCAACATAAAGATGGGAAACAGCCTAGATACTCCCCGATAAGTTTCATCCTAAGTGCGGTGTAGGAAAACTTTATTCTCCCAATAGCAGCACTAAACAAGATGCTTCACAAAGCATCTTTCAGTTTCAAGCACTTCAAACTGAGCTATAGTCAGCCTCCATGTACCTTCCCAACACAAATCAAATTCATGTAATTTTTCTATTTCTTAATCAGTTCTCTGTTTCCTGTTGTTTAACACAATGCACCCTAAAAATCCTAGCCTGGATTCTGGCTATCAGCTTTGAAAGCTCATCAACATGGCATGAACAATGTCATTGTTCAGTCTTTCCCTGACATTACATCTTCTGAGGTAATACGACTCCCCAGTGAGAACCTCTGCAGCTGACTAGGAAGATCTTCAAGCCAGCAGTGAGGTGTTTGTGCAGAATCCATGTACCCCCATCCCGAAAAATGTTGGTCAGGAAAAAGTGTGTTCCCGTGCCCTGGCAAAAGTGTGTGCAAACCTGGGGCAGAGCAGCCAGTTTAGAGGCTCCTGGCCACACGGGAGCAGATCTGTGGAGAGAGGAGCTTCCCTTGACCCTTCCCATCCATCAGCTCAGGAGCTTCACACGCTACAGCAATAGCAGAAGGAGAAACCATATACACTTACTGGAGACTGATATTCTCTAGTAGTTTGAAGGAATTCTTCATTTTGTGAAGCTCTTGTACCTGTACTGGGTGACCAGCATGAATAGCTCCAGTGATGTCCAAAGCCCAAGAGTCTCGCTCCTCCCTGGAGCAACATTCGAGGAAATAGTCTGTGTTGGTTTTTGTCTTAAGTTTGATGAGTAGCTGTGGAGAAAGAAGTGCAAAGCAATAACATCATTTAGCTATTGTCCTCTACTTGCATTTTGCTTCTTTTAGCACTGGCCCAAGAGACACAAATAAGCCTGATACAGCATCCCACCTCAGCAGTACAGAGCGATTCTTGGCCAGAAGGACGGTGGGCACAGCTCTGGGGTTTTTTGCTTCACCCCCTGCCCAAAATCCCAGGGTTTTCAGTGCCAAGCATGGTTTGCATGCATGGAGCTTGTGGTACTTAGAGGAGACCACCCAGATACTGGATTACATAGGAATGTGCTGCTGACTGTGGAGCTTTCCACATCCAGATCTCCAGTTTCACCAACTACAAACTCTCACTAGGTTCCCTCTGCCATGAGACGTGCTGAAACGGTCAGCAATTAACAGAGTCATTTCCCTTCTGGCCCCGCTCAGAGGAAGTCTGCATTGCCACTGCCTGTGGGTGAGAGGAGAAGCGCAGGAGGCACTTTCCCTTCCAGAGCCCTCGTGCTGGAAACTTTCCACAGCAGCAAAGTCCCAGTGGCGAAGGAAAAGGGCACCTGACCTGGCTGCCCAGGAGGACCCTGTGGATACAGCCAGGGTTTAAGGCAACTACCATAGATGATAAGTTTCCCTTTTTTTCCATCCTCCTCAGATTTTATTGAGCTGTTCCCGTCCTTGCTCCACCCACGGTTGGGCTGATGCATTTGCATTTGTTCTTCCCACTGTGTGTGGGGTGGTGGTAGTGTTTTTTGGGTTTTTTTGTTAATGGCTGTGACTCAGATTTGGGCACAGGGAACAGCAAAGACACCGAGGGAGTTCTTTGCTTGTCCTGGTTACATTGCTAATGGCAGCTTGCTTTTGGCTGGGCCTGATTCTGGAAACACCCCAGCGATACGGACGCAGTAATCAAAGAAGTCAGGAGGAGAGGAAAAGACTAGAGAGAAGTTAGAAAGTGAGTGTCATACAGAAGGGATACATTTTTCCAGTCCTACCGGTCTGTTTTCATATTCCAGGCATGGACAGGTAATAGTGCAGCCATCTAGAAGGATCCTGCCCTTCGGTGAAGGCTCCTTCTTGCCTCCTTCAATTTTGTAATACAGCAGCTTATCTTGAAGCAGAACGAACCATCTCACTTTCCAGTTACGAACAATATGTCCCTAGAGGGAAAGAAATCCACATAGCTGGTATTAACACAAGCACTGAGAAATGACCATGGTTTCTTTTTTTTTTTTTCCTTCTTTTTTTTTTTTTTTTGTGGTGAAGATACCATAAATAGGAAACTGTATGAAAAGAAAGACAATAAGTCATCATGAGTCCTGTTCTCCCCAAAATACACATTTTTAGTAACAAACCAGAACAGCTGCATCACAATGAAATCATGGAGCAGTAGAAAGGTGCTTTGCTCTCCAGCAAGGAGAACTTCTTTGCCGGGAAGAATTGTTTCTTGCAAAAGCTCCCATGAATTATCTCAAAGAGCTGTCATTTAGGTGCATAACTGCTTGCTGACAGCACCAGGCAGGAACAGGGATAAATCCAAAATGTGTGAGGCCTCTTGGAGACAAGCTTCTCCTCTCTGGTGACCCTGAGTAGCGTTTGTTTCATTTTTTGTCATTTTGATGTGGCTGCAGGTGCCAAGTGGTTTTGACAGCGCTTTGCTGGGTGACTTGGCTTCTCCTTTCATCCCCTCTTACTGCTAATAAGTGGTTTATTTCTACCCTACCTGCCTCCAGTCTCCTGAGGAGCTAAAAAATTCACTGTGCTACCGTTTCACGTAAAGGAAATATGCTTTTTAACGGCAAAAGACTGAATGAAGGCTGCTGTTCAATGCCTCCTGGGTTATACCAGAATACAGACAAAACCTCTTCTTCCCTCTCTGTAAACAGCCGCCGGCTGTCTTTAGCCCGGCTGTACAGAATAACAAACGGAAGGAGGGCTGGCACTGACAGGCTGAGTCCTGTCTGACGATGTCGGGTCCAGCTTGGCGGCGCGGGGAGCTGACTTGCCTTTCTACAGGCGACGGAGCGTTACAGTCAGCAGGCAAAGCACTGGGTAGAGGAAGCTCTGACACCTGGGAGAGGGTGGGCATCGCTAGAAGAAAGAAACATGCAAGGTCCAGTTGTGGCAGGAATCAAAGCTTATTAATGCTCTATGAGCGAAGGGGAAAAACAGCAATTTCCAAGAAAAGGTGGGGTCTCTAAAATCCAGGGCACGTTAGATGTAATGCCTTCTAGTCTATACTAAACACAATTCATCTAACTTGGGTTTGTTCTCTCCTTCCCTTAGCCTTCTTTGGAACTCGATGATCTTCAAGGTCCCTTCCAACCTAAACCATTCTATGATTCTTCAGTGTTTTTTTCATCTGTTGTGAAGTCCCTTGGGCATTTTTCCTCAGAGTACGTTCTTTGCTATGGCTCTTTTCTTTCCTTCTTGGAGATTTCCCCTTTTTCAGGAGATGACCTTGCCTTTTTTCCTTTATCTTTACCTAACTTCCACACATTTACTCTACATATATAATATATTACAATACATAATTCAGTCATTTATAATGCTCCTTGCTTCTGCTCTCTTCTTCTTAAGAAAACTCTGTTTCCTTTACCTGATCCCACCCCTTCCTCAGTTTTTTCTCTGGATCCCTTGCTTCCTTCTCCCTCAGTTTCTTTTAGTCATCTTCTTTGTAGTCTCCTTCCTATCCAACTGCGTATCTCGGTGACGTTGTACAGACCACTGGCAGTTACAGCTCAGTGTGCTGACGATACCCTTATTCCTCTCTCACAACTGCAGCCCAGAGAGGAGAGCAGGAGCCGGGACTGCTCTGCCCTCGCTGCAGGAGAGAGGATGGGGAACAGCTTGGGCCGTGCAGACCTCCTCTGCCTACAGCATGGCTTCACAAGGCCAGCAGCCAGCTGGCCGGGAGCCCTGCCGAGAGAGCTCCTGACCAGGATTACCTTCATGTTAGCACCAGAAGCACTGCCACGTACTGCAGAAAAGCATTTCCCAAGGTGTGGCAATAGCTTTGAACAAACCTTTGAATCCTGTTTTTGGTGTGCAAGCAAGGATCATATTAGTCACTGAGACACGGCCTTGGTACTAAAAGCAGCTTATGCCTCTCGCTAAGTTGCCTTCTTGTGTCCCAGCTATGACTGACTTGGTCCAACAGGGAGGAGTGTTGGAAAGGCTGCACTCTGTGATACCATCTTTCAGCTGTTTTCTCCACATTTTGGGAACATTTTCTTAGAGTGCAGCATGAGGAGTGTGGAAGAAAGAAGTTATTTCAAACAAATTTCTATGTTAGTATTGCTCTGATCCCCTTCAAAAAGGATAGTCTGTTCCCCATCCTCTCCTATGAAATGGGAAACCCTGCTCAGCTGGGTCGCTAAAGAAGTCACAAGCTATCTTAAGACTGTCAAAACATCTTCCCTCTCCCCATCCATCCCGTGGCCACTTCCACTGCTGCCACGTAGCCATTTGCCAGGTACTTTTTTTTTAAGCAGAGTTGTGCCTCAGGTGCAGACATACCGGCTTTCTGATACCTAACTGAGTAAACCCCAGAGCTGATTCACTTTCCTCTGGGTAAACACCAATACAGGGAAACTCGAGGGAGGGTAGTGAACACTTGCAGTTCACGCAGCTTCCTTGGTGTGCATCTACACAGACCTGGAGCTCCTTTCCCAGGAGAAGGTGGGAACTCCTCAAACCCAGCACACACCGGGCTGCCTCACCAGGAACCCTGGTTTGATCCAGTTGCCCCCTCAGGGGCTGCTTCCATGTTTGAGCAGAACTGCACGAAGGGGAACCGGAGCACTTACCCGTTTGACAAGAAATCCCTCCTTCAGCACTCCAGCTGCCTCCTGCATCGTGGCCAGCGGGGAAGAGAGCCGAGCCCCTGCCGAGAAGCACCCAAGCCCTGGCAGCCTGTCCCTCTGCACACAATTTGTTTAAGAAAGCTCATTTTTCTTCGCTACCCTCCTCCAAAGTGACGCACACTCCCTTCCCTGTTTTTTTTCTCCCTCTCTTTCTACCTATGAGACGTTAGTTAAACATTGAGCTGGCTCTGATACATTACCTGCCCTCCGGGAAGTAAAACAAAGGGAAGGCTAAAAAGGACCTCAACAGAATTTCACAGAATTTATTACAGCAAGACACCACCACCAAGTGAGCTGGTCAATATAAGCAGCCACATGATGACAAATCAGGTATTGCATAGGAGGGAGAAGCAGAATTATAAAACTTCAGACTAATCAACTCTACTGCTTAAAATTTCTCATCTAATAAACACATCTCATGGGGGTTCTACAGATCAGAACACCTTAAGTGTAACATATAGAATATTATGATTACAAGGAGAGTTTTATAAACCTTAAAATAATTTATTTTGCTAGAAATCTATTTTACCAAAGAAACCCCAAAGCACTTAAAACCTCACTCTACTTTCAGTGACCTCTGGGCGTATAAACCAAGATTCTCAACTTAATAACCTAAATCCCTATGTAAGCAACTATTCGGGCTTTCATTAAAGCAGTCTAATCAATGAACACCGTGCAGTGACCTCTTGTAATTCCCAAGCACCTCTGAAACTGAGTGCCTTTTTTGTGTCTGAATACGAGCGTAGATGTTTACTGCATTTTTGAAGACTTTGGTCATGATAAATCTGTTTGATAGATTTATCAAATCCCGTCCTGATGAAATAAACCGGTATTAGTATTTCAGACAGCGCTGCTGTTCAGAAGTAATAGTCTTTGCTGTACTGTTAGCACTCTCTGACTTGTACCAAAATTAAGGCGATACGTGTGGGCAGAGCTAGTGGCTGTAGTTAAGAAATAAATACAGTAAAACAAATAAAGAAAAGCACTGGTTGCTATGTAAAGAGTCCAAAGTTCAGCAAGACTGTGTGACTCAAGTATCTCTCAGTCTTTGCACCGTGGATCAGATTACTGGTCACACTTTCATGTACCGAGGAAATCAAACAAATAAATCATTTATTTCCCTCTATACTATTTTTTATAACTTTTAGCAAGGAAGAGCAACACACCGCAGAATTGAAACCTGACAATGGACTGGAGACAACCCAGAGAACAGTCCTGCAGAGACCACGAGAAATACAAGGGGTGACTGAATGCTACTTGAAGTTAGAAAAATGGATTGCTGTATAAAGAGAAATCATGCTGGCTGACAGCTCAAAAGCAGCCGGACCGTATGGAAGTTACCAGCGTAGCTCCTACTGTACTCCCTTTGGACTTTGGAAAAGGCAGGCAGCCATGAGGTAACTGGATGCTTAACTCATATCCTGCTTAACTCATATCCTGGTTATGTTGGTTCTTCAGTCCAACTCAAGCAAGTGCAGCAAGCTTAACAGTACACCTAGAAGAGTATTTGTTGCTGTAGGTATATAGTATATTCAAAGATATCAATGGAAATTTTTGTAATTTTTTTATATTACTGTAGCCTTACAATAAAGCAGAAATTAACTGAGTGTATTTCTTTCAATTTAAAAAAATAATCTCCTTCCCTGTGTATATAAATACATGTATAAAAGTTGTACTCAGAAGCAGAATCTTGGGGAAAAAAACTGATGCAGTCAGCAGAAAAAAAAAGAAAATAAATTTCAGCTCACAATGTTCTGTACATCAGAATTAAACCTGAGAAAAAAGAAAACTTGAGTCTAGGTACACAAGAGACATTACTGCTGTGTGTGTTTCCTGGACATGCACTCTTTGTATAAACAGCTCCAGGAATACAGTGTTCCACCATTCGGTATTTGAGGTTTGACTTCACATTGTTCAGCTTGTTACTGCAGGCAATTTATAACAAGGTGGGTGAGATAATTTCATGCTAGTGAGGACATGCAGAAGCTTGCAGGGGGCTCTTGCTCAGACAATGATCTCAAAATTGCACCATAACCAGTCCTTGCTGAAGATCTGAGCGAGGTCTTTTTCTCCAGCACACAGACCACCCACAACCCTGCAGACGGATCTTGGCAAAATTACCATTAGCAACAAAGAGTTTTGTTATCAAACTGCTGGTGAATGGTGAAGCCAACATTGCCTTAGCTGGCCATTAAACAACAGGTTTTGTATCAACTACCTTTCATAATCCAGAACCTTCACTTTAAGTCTTCAATACCTTGGATTTTTATCGTACGTACACCCCTCTCCGCCAGTCCCATTCTGTAGTTAATCAGGGCGAACAAACTGCCCCTATATTGCTCCCTGAGGTTGAGTCAATAGGGATCGCTCAGACAGCTTTGTGGGAAAAGAGTCACCCAGTGTAAAATGAGTCAGTAGACCTGGGCTGCCGTATTCACGCGTGCTCTGGGAAGACAAGCTCTGGCATTGAAGGTTCCTGGCAGAAAAGGACGCGCTTTGAACGGTGTAAATCCAAGGAGCCCCAGAAAACTCCATCGAGTCTTCTGTAGGACTTAAAACTCCCTGAAGGGGGGGGGACTATCTGTTTCCTCCGGGCCATTTTATAGCACTGTTTTTTCACGTCAGCTTAGTACTTCAACAAAAAAAGCACAGTTGAGTGCTTGACGTTTTCTTCCATTCAAAGTGACCCCAAAACACTTCATATTCTATAGAATTTGCATTGGGGTGGCCAGGAAGAGCCAGCTGCAGGCTTCAGGACCACAGGACGCTACTCAGGGTTGAAGGCAAGGGCAGGAGCAGCCAGCTCTGAGTGCAGACTGTGCTATTTCAGCTGGCTGACCCGACAGACATTGCGGGTACCTCCAGGTCAGTCCCTCAAGAAGCCACAAACAGCCCAAAGGAAAACCCCCGTCGCGTGCTCTGCACTGCCCATCGCATATCATCATGTGAACAGTGTCACACGGGGGATTGCACATACACAGCTTTTTAAAAGCAGCTTCTTAAGAAGCTAGGACTTTGCCCTCCAGTGTAGGACACCATTAAGTATTTAGTTCCTTTAGTGGATTAGGGATGAAATAAGATGAAAACAAACCACATCAAAATAAAAAATGATTAAACATTTGTAGATAAAAGTGAAAGATGACAAGTGTTCAAAAGTATTCTGACGTAAGGGCATTTTTAAAATTAACTGTAGAAAGGCAGCAGTGTTTGAAAACAGTTGTTTAATTGTCTAGACTCTGGAACAAAAAACTACCAGAAATTAAATACCAAAGTGCAGATGCCACTATGAAGAACAACATGCCAGCTCCACTGCATCTAAAAAAACCCAAGGGCCAGAATCAGGGGGAAAATAGCAAGGAATTACCACTGTATTAAAAACCAGACAAACCACAACAGCCCCAAGAACGCAGGGCACCCCTTCTTTAGCAGCCACTATTTCCCCTCATCAGAAACAGGACACGGGCTGTGTGTAACTGCACACTGAAACTGTGTGCCTGACCTGAGCCAGTACCTCTGTTTGGGGTTTTTGGTATTAATGAGAACTTATCAGACGTTATAGGCAAAACGGTTTCCAAGCTGCCAGTCTTACAAAATTAATCTAGGATATTAAAAGCAAGCTGAAACCCTTACAATTAACACATCAGGCCAAGTCCTGTCTACAGGTACACCCGTACCTTTCCCTTCAGCTGACTACAGGAGTGCAAGTGGAGATTTTTGATTTTGCAATTACAATTGAGTAAACAGGAGAGTTGTGAATGAACAGCCGGAATACGCTACCTCACTTTAGCAACTCAACAAAGATGTTCACACAAAACCCACAACCCTTATTCTTAAGCACTTGATAAGCAAACAGTTCCACGTATACAAAATAGACCAGTTGAGATTGGTGTCGGCTCAGCAACTTTTAACCATCCTTAACTCACAGGCTACGGCAACTGATGCAGCACAGCCAAGTCCCAGCATGGGCTTTGCCGGTTCATCACTCTCTCACACACACATTGCTAACAGGCCTCAAAAGTGGCCACCTTAGACCTCCTCCTCCCAGCTGTTGCAACACATAAGAAATATCCACCAAGTTGTCTTGCATCTTTTATTTAAGCTTCTTCATTAAAATTTACTCAGGCAACAGGAGTGCCTGATCTTATCTGCCAGGATAACAAGTGATTGAAATGCATTTATCTTTGGTTTTGTTATCTTTGTAAGATGCTTTGTTACTGTCCTCACCATCTCGATCTTTTTTTTTTTTTTCAGGCCCTCAAAACTGACACAGAATTGTGTACACCAACACACTGAGGCTCTAATTAGAAAAGCTCCTGTAGCTACTGAACGAGTTTAGCAAACTTTTGCCTAAGTTACTGAGAGAAATGATGCTCACCTAGTAACACCAAAACAGCTCTTAGAGAGGATGTATTTGCAACCCCCTGATAGTACTCCAAGGAAAGAGCATGCATGGCTCCTTTTCCAGTGCTGTGCTTCACAGCATTATTTTGGTACCCAGCTCATGTGGCTACTTTTTAGTTTTTAACCACTTTGTTCTTTTGTCTGAGTACCCACCTATTGCGTTTAATGGAAGTCAAATCACTTATAGCGAGTGGGCAAAGTTGGAAGAGCTGTTCAAGCAGGAAACTAATTTTATCACAGCTTCAAGCCACAACAAGGCTGTCATACGCAGCTTCTGAAAAGACAACTTGAGAAAATAACCACAAAAAAAAAATTGTTTCTTCATTTTGTAATGACACATTCAGGTATTTTCCAACATTCTACAGATGGGAAGTTACTTAACTTTTTTGGCTTTGCATTACTATTAGAGTTGGGTACATGTGAACTCTGATTATCAAGCATGGATGACAATACATATGGCCTTTGTGAATGCCTTTTGTGGCAACACCACGTAGCAATGACATTATTTGTACTGTGGCAGTATTAGGAATTCCTAGTTAAGGTTCAAAGCCTCATTTTTCATGCATTTTTTCTCTAGCAGTACAAGATAT